CAAAATCAGGCAAACTTAAAAGTAATCAAACTTTAGCTCCAGTCCAGCTGGGCAGACACTTACTAAGATAATTCTAGAATCACAGGAGTCTATTAGATAGTCTGCCACAGGAATTTATTTCTTAGACGTGTATTATTTAACTTTGTGCTTTTCTTCTAGTACTTTCCCAGTCTTAGAATGCCTAGCTTACACGGTTCTACTTTATCAGACCCATGCAATTGTGATAAACCCAAGTAAGATTATTTTCTAATGCCCCAAACTTACAGATCCCTTCATCTCGTAAACTCCTGCCTCCTATGATCCAGACCCTAAATCCCTTGCTTTTTCACCACCTACTTAACTTACTGAGTAATTCTGGTTTTCATATTGGCTACCGAAAATGTACTAATTCTTATCCCCCTTTAAATTGCATGTGCTATTCAACAGTAATGCAGTGCCTAATACAGATGCACAAATAAGTAAACTTTATATAGCTTCTGACAAGTTCTGGGAAAGAGTGTCTGGGCATTGGGTAATACAAACTTTAGTTCTGCCCTGACTCGGTGATCTCAGACAAATTGCAAGATCTTTTGGGACCTCAGGATGCTCATGTCAGTCAAGACTGAGTAAGGTAGGTACTACTTACATTACAGGAGGATTGCCAAGAATGAAGTGATAAATATTAGGAGTTGAAAAATGCAGAGACCTTCAATATATTAATAGCTTAGTAATTAAGAATTAAAACGCATAAAATATGTAATTATTACTATTACTGTTCTAGTTTGAACAGGTAAAATCCATCAGAAGAAAAATAAATAAAATTGGTCTTTTAGGAATTCCTTCCCTACAAGAGTTTTTCCTGAAACTTTTCTTCTACTTAAGTTAGAAACGATGAGCAGTTACGTGAAGTCTTAAGGGACTAGCTTATGATGAGCTCGTCAGTACTGATCAATAAATCAAACACATAAAACCTTTACAAGAGAGAAAGAAAGTCAGTAAGACACTAAATGTTCAATGCCCTTCTTCACTGTCTCTCCATCTTCCCTTTACTTACCTATGTTTATTTGACACTTTTAAAACAAAATGGAATTTTTAAGAGGGAGAATGCCAAAATCATTGATATTATGTCCTCATCAATCATCAACCTAGAACAGCCATGTACTGTATTTAGGAAGGTAAAAGGTCACACTCAATAGCATGGCTAGCTATTTCCTTCTCAAGACGATCTTTCTGTTAGCTCATTTTTGGAAAATGGATTGTCCTGACAAATCCAGCTCTAAATCTGTACACAGTGTATATATGTTAAGAAGCATTCCAGAACAGTAGAAGAAGAAGATAGGGAGTGGGAAATTCCAGAAAAATGAGTTGATTAATGGGGAGAGGATAAGCACCCAAATCCAAATGCTGTCTTTTCCTCACTTAATATTCACAAAATGTGAAAGCAATATTTCCAGAAAAGATTAAGCCACTAGAGAAAAATGTTTCCAAGAGTCTCTTTCCCACTTATTAATATACAATACCCAACACAGAAAGTTGGCAAATAAAGGCAGCGAGTGTTGAAATTACCCTATAAGGCTTTCAACATTTGTGGCATATTTATATTTTTCAGGATATGACTCAAAATTTGCTTTGAAGTATTTTGTATTTCTTATAGTAAAGAAAAATTTTGTTTTGTTGTATTTTTCCATTAATATTTAGATGAAGTCACTTTTTTACTTGATTTACTAAAACTACTATCCCCTAAAATATCATAAAAGTATATTTTAGGGAATTTGCATCTAAGATATTACTATGACATAGTTAACCTTAAAAAAATCCCATTTTCCTCAACATAAAAGCAACTACCTCTAGAAACTGCCATGTTAAGATCCTGATGTTCATTCACTCACCTGTATTGTTTCTATCTACCTATTTAAAAAATATTTAAATGGTAATTTGTCATCAAATGGAATTAGAGAATTTTAAGAATCTAAAATGATATAAATTTTGACCTGCAACAAATTTTTGACCTGAGAAATACTGTGTGAGCATTCTGGAAAGAGAAAAAAGTCTACAAGAGTCAATTTGAAATTACTCAGAAAAAATTTCTCAAGGTAAAGGTAACTTCTTTATTCTTGGTTTTTAGGTATTACTAAACAAGCCAAATGCTATGAACAGAATATATCTTGATTTTAGAATGTTATTAGAAGAAAGAATCTAACCGTATCTTTTTAAACAAGAGAGAGAAATATGGGCTCTGGTGGAATTCACAGCTGATAAAACAAAACTTTCCAAAAAGGTGATGAATGACAGATTATTACAACATGAATGACAACAGCTTTTATCATCATGCAACCATGGAGATACACTAAAGTGTAAAAATGGCAGAACACTCTTTTTAAAAAAAAGTTAATGTAACCCTTGGTCATAATCTAAAACTAATATTTGCTCTAAGAACATGCCCCATTATATTCCTTGCTGTATGAACACAATTGGGAAGTGTGGATTTGGTGGTAGTATAACTCACAGTTTACAAACAGATCTAAGCTATGAGAATATGCAGAGAGGAAGCATCAGGTACTGAAATTTTGAAAACGACACAACACAAGAATTGTTTCTTGGAACTGGCGTGTTGGTATAGCAGTAAAACTGCCTCCTGCAATGCCAACATCCTATATGGGTGCTGATTCCTGTCCTGACTGTTCCACTTCCAATCCAGCTCCCTGCTAGGCCTGGGAAAAGCGATGGAAAATGGTCCAAGTGTTTGGGCTCCTGCCATCCATGTAGGAAACCAGATGAAGCTCTTAGTTCCTGGCTTAAGAGGGAGAATGCCAAAATCATTGATATTATGTCCTCATCAATCATCAACCTAGAACAGCCATGTACTGTATTTAGGAAGGTAAAAGGTCACACTCAATAGCATGGCTAGCTATTTCCTTCTCAAGACGATCTTTCTGTTAGCTCATTTTTGGCCTGACCCAGCACTGGCCATTGTGGCCATCTGGGGAGTGAACCAGTGGATGGAAGATATCTCTCTCTCTCTCTCTCTCTCTCTGTAATTCTGTAACTCTGATTTTCAAAAGTAAATAAATGTACCTTTAAAAAAAAGGAATTTTTTTTTGCTAAAAACTGTTAAGTCTCAGATGGGACATGCTGATGGCTTGTAACAGCTGGAGAGCAGTTAAGTGGAAGGATTAGATGGAAGCTTTCACCCCAGGAATTGAACCAGGACCATTGGCTGTAAGTAATTGATGAAGGATGGAAGGGAAAAAATCCTAATAAGAAGACACAAACTGTTTCCAGAAGACACAAGAAAGCACTAGAAATATCCAGGATGTGCACTAGTTGGAAAATTTATTCTTGCTCAACTCCTGACCTCACTGCTCTTTCCTCTTTGGGACCCTGGACCAGCTCCTGAACGTCTGTGTTTTACTGCTTCCTCATTTATAAAATGGGTATGCCTGCACTGGAAGGAGATGTGGCAGCAGTTCAGAACACAAGGCAAGGGAGGGAAAGTGTTGAATAGATGGTCGCTATGGTTCTATTTCTAAATTTCTGCCATTTTATTATAAGGGAAATATTAATATTTTATCTCTTGGTGGCTAATTATTGTTTAATTATTTTATTCATTAAACTGGTCTGTATTGAGAGGCTTCTATGTTGTAGGTACTCTCCTAGGGGAAACAAGAGCTAAAAAAATGGGTAAAAACTCTTGTTGTAGATCTTGTATTATAGTGGAAAAAGACAACAAGACAAGTAAATGAAATAGGACATTAGCAGTGATAGGAGTTACACAGAAAAATAGATCTTATAGTGGAATAAAATAAACAAAACAAGTAAGTAAATCCTATAGGACAGTAGCAGTGTAGAAAAATAAAGAAGCAAGGTCAAGGAAGCTTCAGTGAGAAAGCAACATATCAACAAAGACACACTAATTTCATCAGTCATTTTTAAAATCTATTTTATTATGAAATCCATTGAAAAACATGGTGCCCTTAAGCAAATAGTATGAGCTAAATATTGTGGGTTGCATCATGTCTCCCTAAAATTCATATGTTGAAGTTCTAATCCCAGTACCTCAGGATGTGTTTGGAGATAGGGTCTTAAAGAAGTAATTAAGTTAAGTGAGATCGTTAGTGTGGATCTTGATTCAGTATGAGTGGTGACACCAGTGAGGTACAACTGAGGATGAAAGGAGACAGGATCAGAAGGGTACAAAGGAAAGAAGAGAGCACGCAGGAGGAAGACAGCTACCTACAAGGCAAGGAGAGAGGCCTCAGAAGAAACCAGCCCCACCAACACTTTAATCTTGGACTTCTGCCTCCTGCATTGTAACAAACCGAAATGTTTATTGTTGAGGTTACCAAAGTCTGTGGTATATTGTTAATACATCCCTAACAAATGAACACAGAGAATACAGAAGCATATGAATCCAGTCCCAAAAAGTATGTTTAAAATAATGCAATATTGCTTAGTCATTTGTATAGCCACTCAGAACCTTTGGTAAACTTTTAGAGTTTATACAGCGATTTCAGATTTTATATTTTTCGCTTTAGCTTAAAATTGCATTTAAAATTCTTAAAACCAAGCTTTTACTTTTGATATACTCTAGTGCAGAAAAAGTCTAATAAAAATATCACAAGCAGTACATAATTATGAAAAACATGTTTAAGTAATATATAAATTTTAGGGTAGGTAAAATACACATCTTTCTACTAAGATATACATCACCAAAGATATTGAAGTTTAAGATGGCAGCTCATAATCTTTTGAAATGTTAAAAAGACAACCAAGCAGCTAGTAATACCAGAACTTAACTTTTCCATCTTGTTCATGTCTTGGTAGAGTCTTGTTGTATTACTCTAATAACACTGGCCAGCTAGTGTAGCAACTACTTGGTGTGACAATGTGCAGAACACTGCATATACATTTGAAAATACTCTTTAATTTAAAGATTGCTATTTTTGATTCCTTTTTAATTTTCCTACTCATGAGATACACCAGTTCAGAGATTAAGAAAATAAGCAAATCAATATACTTACAGATCCTACTAATTTAGATACTTTCTGGAATTCTTCCTCCTCTTCCATTAGTGCTTCTTCAGGCCCAGGTAAAGAATCTATTTTAATTTACAAAATAAATAAATAAATTATGGTCACATTATTGCTTAATAGTTCTCATACATAAACCTATTGGTGAGAGGCATTTTAAAGTGACTGAAGGGTGAGTGTTTGGCATAACAGTTAAGACATTGCTCGCGATGCCCACATCCCATATCAAAGTGCCTGGGATGGAGTCCTGGCTCCATTCCTGATTCCAGTAGACTGCTAATGCACATCCTGGGAGGCAACAGGTGAGGCCTTAAGCACTGACCCAGATGGACTTCCAGGCTCCTGGGTTCAACCTAGCACAGCGTCTAGCTGTTCAGAGCATTTGGGGAATGAAGCCACAAATAAACACTTTCTCTCTCTCCCTTTCTTTCCCCTTTCAAATAAATGAATGAATACAGTGATTGAATTAGTTGTCAAAATATCACAATGTTTGTGAAGTAGAGTGCAGAATAAAATTTATGTAGCATGAAGACAACTTACAAAAATTCTAAGTATTTCTAATTAAGAAGTTCCCAGTGAAGTCATAATTGCGCAAGAGCTCAAATTATCTTATTTGGGCAAATAAACACTTTCAACATTCTTTCTCTCAAGGAATTCACTTGAATACATTTACAGCATTGATATTTAACAATAACAAACATTCATAGAGAGAACACATTGGTAACAATGGTTTTATATTCTGTTCTGTTTTTGTCTTGGTTGAATTTTCCTGGTTATGAGTTCCATGCTCAGTGAGATCTATCATGTAGCAAAGCCCATAGAGTTTAACATGGAGGGACAACCATAAGTAGCCAGAGATTTGAAAACTTAAATATCAGATTGAATTGAAAGCTACTAAGTGGAGTGTACCCTGCCAATTAGTCCAAATCCAATGATAGAATGCCAATCTAACTAGCTGCTTACAGGCAATATACAAAAGGAAAACAAAATCTTGGGGGGCTGGCACTGTGGCATTGCAGGTTAAGCTGCCACCTGTGGTGCCGTCATCCCATATGGATGTTGGTTCAAGTCCCAGCTGCTCCACTTCCAATCCATCTCTCTGCTATGGCCTGGGAAAGCAGTAAAAGATGGCCCAAGTCCTTGGGCCCCTGCACCTGCGTGGAAGACCCTGCAGAAGCTCCTGGCTCTTGGCTTAAGATCTGCTCAGCTTTGGCTGTTGCAGCCATCTGGGGAGTGAACCATCGGATGGAATACCTCTCTCATTCTTTTCTCTCTCTGCATCTTTCTCTCTATAACTCTGCTGTTCAAATAAATAACAATCAGGAGAGGAGAGAGGAGAGAGGAGAGAGGGGAGAGAGGAGAGGGGAGAGGAGGGGAGAGGAGGGGAGAGGAGAGAGGAGGGGAGAGGAGAGAGGAGAGAGGAGGGGAGAGAGGAGAGGAGGGGAGAGAAGAGAGGAGGGGAGGGGAGAGGAGAGCAGAGAGGAGGGGAGGGGAGAGGAGAGAGGAGGGGAGGGGAGAGGGGAGGGGAGGGGAGAGAAGAGAGGAGGGGAGGGTAGAGGAGAGGAGAGAGGAGGGGAGGGGAGAGGAGAGAGGAGGGGAGGGGAGAGGAGAGAGGAGGGGAGGTGAGAGGAGAGGAGAGAGGAGGGGAGGGGAGAGGAGAGAGGAGGGGAGGGGAGAGGAGGAAACATTGAGGTTAACTCCATGTTTTCAAAGTGTTCTAAGGGGCCAGCGCTGTGGCATAGCAGGTTAAGCCACCACCTGCATTGCCCGCATCCCATATGGGCACCAGTTCTAGTCCCAGCTGCTCCACTTCCAATCCAGCTCTCTGCTGTGGCCTGGGAAAGCAGTAGAAGATGGCTCAACTCCTTGGGCCCCTGCACCAGCATGGGAGACCCAGAAGAAGCTCCTGGTTCCTGGCTTTGGATAGGAGCGGCTCGAGCCGCTGCAGCCTTTTGGATAGTGAACCAGCGGATGGAAGACCTCTCTCTCTCTCTCTCTCTCTCTCTCTCTCTCTCTCTCTTTCTCTCCCCTTCTCTCTCTGTGTAACTCTGAATTTAAAATAAATAAATAAATCTTTAAAAAGGCAAAGTGTTCTGAATACATTGCTTATTAACAGCAATTGGTAGATGCGTCTGTATAATTTTGTTCTGACTTCTCTGGAGAAATTTTTTTCTGTAAGTTATATGATGTTCAAAATACAAGGGAGTACTTCTTAGATATTTTCTTAAGATATATTTGTCTATTTGCTTGAAAACCAGAGGTAGAGATAGGTCTTCCATTCACTGCTTCACTCCCCAAATGTCTGCAACACCTGGGGTTGTGCCAAGCCAAAGCCAAGAGCAAAGAATTCCATACAGGTCTCCCACTTGGCTGGTAGGGGACCCAAGTACTTGAGTCATCATCTGCTGCCTCCCAAACACATTAGCAGAGTGCTAGATCAGAAGCAGAAGTGGAGGCAGACTCTGATCCACACACTCCCATATAGGATGTGGGCATCCCGATGGTGGCCTAACCTGCTATGCCACCTGCCACTTGCCCCGTAAGATATTTTTCAATCTTATAGGAGTTAATGGTAAAGAAGTCTCTCAATTTTTCATCTACTACAAAATTTATCTCTTCTCATTTTTAGAATAAGAAATGAAAGCAAGGGAAGTTGAAGCAATTTTGTCAAAAACCAAGTCTCTAGCAGCACTTTCACTAGAAATTTGGCTTGTGGTTACCTGAACAACCTTTTAGGAGTAGAAATCTATAGACTGTATCACAATGGCTAACTTCATTGAACTTCTTCCTGGTATTATTTTACTTTTGCTGCTTGCAACACAACAGGTTTTTATGCGCATAATTATCCTACACATAGAAATACTATTTCTTGAGCCAGTTTCAATATTAACATAAAAATCATATTAGTTATAAAGATTATATTGAATAAAAATTGACATAAAAGTCACATTAGAGTTTTTGGATAGTGTCAATTATATCCAGTTATTAGATCCTGTGATTCTGCCAAGTAGAAAAGAATGTACTAAATCAGAAACTTGTATTTTTTAACTTGCTGATTAGATCTACTAACATTTGAGTGTAAAGAATGCAGGATATAATTATGTCAAGGAAAGATATTAAACTTAATAACTACATTTTTAATGAATATAAGTATGTTTAATCAACAGCATATTATTGATGCAGTTTCCCAAGATTTTATTTTTCCTAAAACATTCAAATCCCTAAAGTTCTCAATAATTATATAAATAAAATGCTGAAAGATATTTATCTGCATATTGATAGATTGGAGTGGTTTTGATGGAATTTAAACATTTAATGAGCAAGTTGTTAAATAGCATCTGTCTAGCATCTTGTTTTGTTTTTGGCATGATGGGGAACACAAGAAAACCTTAAGAATCGTCTAATTCAATTGAAGCAATTCAAAAGCAATTAGGGGATGAGACAAAGGAAACACTGGAGTGTGCTAAACATCAGTGAGCCACAACACGACCTTACGGATGACCTAAATAAGCAAGAGAGAAGAAAAAGAACTTTGTCAGGGAAGAATAGCCCAAGTGAAAAATACAAACACTAGCTTAACTGTGAGGAGCAACTCAGATGATTCTGGAAGCTAAGGGAGCATCAACAAAAAGCCAGTCTGGGACATTCATTGTTGCTAGTGAGGCAAGGCTCAACTTCCATTGTCAGGGTTAAAGGTCTATCCTAAGAATGTGCCATGACATTAGTACAATAACGGATTTGAGTATGTATATATACTTTATTTCTTTCATTTTTTTGTCTTTGAGTTCGCCTAAAACAATAACAAGTATTGGTAGACTTAAAACTTACCCAAAGAATCTGGGATTATTTCATCCGGAGAATGAAGTATTTGTAATGTCTCCTCTGTTCTTTCTGCCAGGCTGTCTCCCTGAAGCCTAGATAATTAAAAAGGATTCTTAAGACACGTCTGAATATTAAATCATGACATATGAAATGCATACTGTGAAGCACATGACTGTGAACTTCTGGACTCGAAAATCAGACACATTTCTTTAAAGTAGAAATACAAGTTTACTAAAGACATTTTAAGATAGGGGTTTGGAGACGGCGCCGTGGCTCAACAGGCTAATCCTCCGCCTTGCGGCGCCAGCACACCGGGTTCTAGTCCTGGTTGGGGTGCCGGATTCTGTCCCGGTTGCCCCTCGTCCAGTCCAGCTCTCTGCTGTGGCCAGGGAGTGCAGTGGAGGATGGCCCAAGAGCTTGGGCCCTGTGCCCCATGGGAGACCAGGAGAAGCACCTGGCTCCTGGCTTTGGATCAGCGCAGCGCGCCGGCTGCAGCACACCGGCCGCGGTGGCCACTGGAGGGTGAACCAACGGCAAAGGAAGACCTTTCTCTCTGTCTCTCTCTCTCTCACTGTCCACTCTGCCTGTCAAAAAAAAAAAAAAAAAATAGATAGGGGTTTGGTGGCTGACTCTGTGGCATGAAAGGTAAAGCCTGCAGTGTAAGCATCCCATATGGGCACCAGTTCCAGTCCAAGCGGTCATCACCTGGGAAAGCAGTGAAAGATGGTCCAAGTGCTCGGGGCCCTGCACGAATGTGGGAAACCTGGAAGAAGCTCCTGGCTACTGGTTTCTGGCTCAGATGAGCCCAGCTCCAGCTGTTGTGACCATCTGGGGAGTGAACCAGTAGATGGAATCTCTCTCTCTCTCTCTCTCTCTCTCTCCCCACCCCCTCCTTCTCTCTCTGTATTGCTAATTTTCAAATAAATAAATATTTTTTAAAAAAGATAGACTTTTTGCTGTTCTCACCATTGAGAGAGTTCTACCTTTCCTCTTATTTACCCAACATGGTTAGTCTAGGAAGAATCAGATTTTCTTCTCTGCATGACCAAGGAAGTTCTATGAGCAATGTCGGCAGTGCAACTGCAAAGCAGGACTGAATGGAAGGAGAACAAGAGTCAAGACACACAAGCTTACCTAATTTCAGGGTGCAGATGCAGGAGGCTTGGGTGTGTTTACAAAGTCACAGAGAACTCCATCAAACACAGATCTCCAAAGAACTCACCTGACCTTAAACCAACCTGACCCATGTACCTGTGGAGTGAAGACTCCTAATGTGTGTTACTGCCTGCCCAGGCTTCCAGAGACACTAGACCAGCTTCAGGAGAGGAAGATTCTGGAGGTACTTTTATGGCATTATATTTCTGAGCTTCCCTATCCTCTTCTCTAGAGTGTGAAAAATGAACTCAAAGTCACTGCAAGTCGCAGTGTATATTACACTCTGAGACCATATGATCCAAGGAGGTATAGCTCAACAACACATTTTGGAACTATGTCTTGGGAACTGTAAAATAAATACATCTCTGCTAATGATAGAGGACAACACATCAAAGAATCCAGAGACTAGAAGTTTCTACCAGTGTCATACTTCTTTCTTGTATATAGCTAATGGTGAATGACCTTCAGGAGAGAATTAACAAATATATGTCATATAACATTTAAATTTTTTAAGTATAAGAACAATCAATAACTATATGGTGCTCAAATGTTAAAATTCTCACTTTTCTTTTATATACCACGGTGGAATCAAATAAAAATACACTTTTGACCTTTACAAATTCTACCATATTTACATATCTATTTCTTTATCTTTTTGTGTAATTATAAATACCATAAATTATACATGTATTTTTACTTTTATATTATTATATTACATATTACCTTCTAAATATAAAACTGTATTTAATGTATTTTATCAATTAAAGAAAAATTCTCAAGGGGGTTTTCTGACAGTCTTAATACTTTTTGGTCAGCTATAAGTGGTTTTATATATTTAATTTACTTTTTAAAATTTACTTGGGAAACACACCTGTTCCGATAAATTAATTAGTTATATTTATGTAAGATATTTCCTACTGTTTTCTCTCTATTTTTACTCACTTCCAGTAAATAAGAGAGTTACTTCAATAATAAGAAATATCAACAGTCGGCACTGTGGTATAGTAGGTTAAGTCTCTACCTGAGGCATGTGCATCCCATATGGATGCCAGTACTACAAGTCCTGGCTGCTCCTCTTCTGATCCAGCTCTCTGCTGATGGCCTGGGAAAGCAGTGGAAAAGGCCCAAGAACTTGGGCCCCTGTACCCGCGTGGGAGACCTGGAGGAAGCTCCTAGCTCCTGGCTTCGGATCTGCACAGCTCCAGCTGTTGCGGCCATTTGGGGAGTAAATATGGAAGACCTCTCTCTATGTCTCTCCCTCTCTCTGTCTGTAAGTCTGCCTTTCAAATAAGTAAACAAATCTTTTAAAATATATCAAATATAATTTTTGATCTCTCTTTGTCTAGGACCACTCAATCAAAGTTTATCAAAGAGATAAGCTATATAGGTATGTCAGATATTGAAAAAATTAAGTAGAAATTATGATTAAAACTTCATACTAAGCTCCAACACATTCCAGTACTTAATTTTAGATAAAAGACCTAGTAGAAAAATAAATCTCTAAAAAAGGCAGAAAGAAACAAGACACACAAATTATGTTGTATTATTTTGCTCATTGCATGCATCAGTAAAACAAAATATTTAACATAATGCTTAATTAACATGCTCAATAGTAAGCCAAATATTGTAGCGATAAGAAGGAATAATAACTGCTCTTGATTTCACAGAATTCTCAATCTAGCCGAGTTGAAAAGACAAATGTCTATGAATAAAAACCTAACAAATTGGGTGGCCTTGAGCTGGCTCATCTTTGTCCAAACACTGCCCTGCAGATACCTCAAGAGTGGAGTTTACCGTGACTTGGCACCGGCTCCTTTGTGGAATGCTTCACAGCCCTGCTATCCGTGAGTGCTCTGCCAATGTTTCCCAGCTGTAACCCACACAGCACTCCCTCTGTAAGAGGTTAATGGGCGCTGTGCAAACAAGGGCTGTGTGGGCAAGTCCGGGAAATACAGCTTTAAAAAGTTAAATTGCTTTTTGTTGTTTTGTTTTTTCACTACAAGAGTTTTACTCATACTCCTAAGCTCCGTTCTCTTTGCTTAGTAAAACCGCTCTTCCTACTCCTCTCTGTCAGACTGAGATCCCTTCCCTGCTAAGGATATTCAAATGTCCCCTTTTCCAAAAGACGCTGCCTGAACCCATGACTTCAGATAACAGTGGATGATTTAAATTAGCCTTTCTTCTCTTTGCTCACAGACTAAGCTCAGGCTCAAAATGTTCTTTTTCAACCCAAGTATCTGGATCTATTTACTAATCTCAAAGTCTCTTGGGGACCTTCCCCCCCACTTCACCCTCCCCTAACCCAAGGCCAAACCTTTCAAAACTGCTCCATGCCAAAAGTCTACAAATCTAATGTTCTATTCTCTGACAACAAACTTACCTCCTTTGGGCTCTTTCACAATCTGTTTTATTTATTTTTTTAAGATTTTATTTATTTTATTTGAGAGGTAGAGTTACAGAGAGTAAGAGGGAGAGACAGAGAAAAGGGTCTTCTTTCCATTGGTTGACTCCCCAAATGGCCACAATGGCCAGAGCTGTGCCGATCTGAAGCCAGGAGCCAGGAGCCTCTTCCGGGTCTCCCACACAGGTGCAGGGGCCCAAGGACTTGAGCCGTCTTCTACTGCTTTCCCAGGCCATAGCAGAGAGCTGGATTGGAAGAGGGGCATCTGGGACTTGAACCAGAGGCCATCTGGGATGCCGGTGCCACAGGTGGAGGATTAACCTACTGCACCACTGCGCCGGCGCCTCACAATCTGTTTTAGCACGGTCTCTTGGACCAGTTGTACATCTTCATTTCTCTGTTTTCTCCGGATATCCAGTCCCTGCTGATTTGCTTCCTTCCCTAATCAACTAAGACTTATTGTCTCTTAAGAGTCCTTGCACTCTGTGCCTCAGTCATCTTGTCCAATCAGACTCCAGTCCTGTAGGAATCTACCACTTTCTTGCACACGTGCAGCTGAATACTGAAGACACTCATGCCACTCAAAGAGAATTCACTGCTAAGTACAAATCAGTGATCTCCAACTTTAAACGTGGGCTTCTTGGTTTCGTTTTTTCTTCCTTTCCTTTCAAGGTCTATTCAACAATATCACCTCTTTTCTATGTGATCCAGAAAAAAACATGCAACCAGGAATAAAGATCTTCAACTCCCCTTCACACAACACCTCCAGAATTATTTTATCCTGACCCAGATTCCTTGCAATCCAGTTCACAGAATGTAAAGTCCTGTATTTCCACCAAGCTGGTGATTTGGATTCTGTTGTCTCATCTCCGTCTTGGACCTCCATCTATTTAGTCCACATTAACTCAAACACCAGTATTCAACATGTTTATCTCCACCGCATATTTTTCAACAACATATGAGCAAGTTCACTTACTTTTCAGCTTAAAAAAAAGTAAACACACAAATAAAATCCCACCCACAAGTAGCTCAACTAAAACCTATGGCTGCTGCCTTTTCTTATCTATTGTTCTCTGAGACAAACTCCTAAAATATTTTTCTTTTGGGGCAATTGTGGCCGCATAGAGGGTTAAGCCTCTGCCTGCAATGCTGGCATCCCAATACAGGCGCTTATAAGAGTCCCAGCTGCTCCACTTCAGACCAAGCTCTGTACTAAGGCGCCACGGATGGCAGCAAAAGATGGCACCTGCCACCCAGTGGAAGATCCAGATGAAGGTCCTGGCTCCTGGCCTCTAGCTTTGGCCTAACCCAGCCCTGATTGTTGAAGCCATTTGGGGAGCGAACCACTGTATAGAAGATCTCTCTTTTTGTCTCTCTTACTCACTCTGTAACTCTGCCTTTCAAATAAATATTTTTTAAAAAGTCTTCTTTCAATGCCTTCGCTTGCACAGTTTCTGTATCCTCCTCAACCTGTTTTGATTTGCTTTGTGCCTCTGCCACTGAAAAACTGACCTGCTAATTGTCATCTACAATGGA